TCTTATTTTCGCCGCCTGCTTTATTTGCTTCATTTAGGGACACAATTTTGCATAGTCATGATATTATCATCACTAAAGGCGTGTATGATGTCCTGTTCTCAAAGAAGAAGATGAAGCACCTGACTGGATCTGAGTCCAGATATGGAGATGATTTGGTGGTTCATGATGATTGATAAATGGGTAAATGGAAGTCAAGTTGCAGTAATCAGGTTTACTATTATTGCAAGAAGAAAAGACGCAGTAAGAGAGATTACGAAATATTACAAAATAAAGGTACTTCGGTTGCAAATCATGGTAAGTAATCAAACACTTCGGACGAGATCAAGATAATTAGAAATATTTGAATGATGGAGATGTCTTGAATATTTTTTACGTGGAATCCAAACTTGACGAGGAGTGAATTTTGGACATAGCATGTACATTCCATATATGTCTCAATCAGGATTTTTTTGAAACATATAAAAAGGTGACGCAAGGTGTCATTGACATGGGTAACAACAAACCTCGTCAGGTAGCTAGTATTGGTAGAGTCAAATTAAAATTTGTAGATGGAACATATAAGACACTTAATCATGTTCGACATAGTCTAGACTTAAAGAAGAATCTCATTTCGTTGAGCACTCTTGATTTAAAAAGGTATACATTTTCTAGAGCAGGCAAAGTTTTGAGAGTTCGGAAGGGTGTCCGTGTTGTATTGAAGAGGTCCCAGTTATACATCTTGCAAGGTCAGGAAGAAAAATCAGAACAGGTTTAATATCGTTGTGGAGATTTAGTTTGGTACTATACCTTTGGGCTTTGGCCTAGGTCCATATTAAAGAATACTGCTCAGTCGAGTTTGGAGGATGTAGGTAATTTTGCTTTGCCACCACTGTCTAATCCGTCTTATTCAACTGCTAGGGATAGACCCATTGAAGATAGGTACGAGAATGCTTATTTCGTTGTGCATGCTTGTGGGGGTTTTTGAAGGTGTCGATACTAGAAAGTGGCCTTCTATGAAAGCATCAGTAGTTGATTTTGGTACGGGGTGTGCTACGATCCTATTTGGTGAATTCTAATTCTGTGTGAATTTTGGGAAATTTAGTATTTGGGTTCACGTATCTGTGTTGGATATTGTGGAAGAGGAAGAGTATTTTTTGTGTGATTGGATAAGTTGGTTGGGATTGAAGAGTTTAGATATTTCGTTATAGTCGGATTTATTTTTCCAGGTGGACAAATTTTTGAGCATTGTTTGTTATACCAGAATTTGGTTTAAGGTAGAGATTTGTTGTAGTTTGACCCAAATTCTAGTGGGTGATTTTTAGTTGAAGTGGTTTTGAAGAGGTCAAAGTTGTGAACTGAGAAGAAACGTCGTTGCATTTTCGCTAGCTGGCCGTTCGAGCAGTAGGCAAATTTTTGGAGTAGAGAACTATTGTTCGCCTATTGCTCGTCTGTCGCTAGACTGTGCTCGAGCGACAGCGCCACTCGATATTTTCTCTATATGTCGGTTTCACAAGTATTTTGACCTAGTTTTCATCTTTTAGGTTAATTCTAGTGTTTTGACATGTCCTCTATAAATAGTAGACTCTTCATTTAGTTTAGGTATTGTTGAAATTGTTGTGACTATTATTTTCTCGATTAGTTGTTGAATAAAATACTCAATTCCTTTGCCAATCTATTTCCTGTCTTTTAGTCTTGTTTTCTATGTAAAATCATATATTTCCTATTGTGTCATTTTTGTCTCCTCGTTTCGTAACAACTTAAATGGTCAAAATGAACAATTTTACTTATTTTCTTCATTATATAATCAAGTCAATAGTTACAACTTCTCGAATTCGTCTGTGGCCTCTACTATTACAAAATGCAATCCCAATTTTCCTCCACTCGGGATCTTAATTGCAGGGTATATACATTCTACCGATGTCATTCAACCATTCGTATATATAATCCTTTGTAAAACATACAGCAACAACCATCGATATTCCTTAATGAGCCATTCTTCTTGGACAACCATGGTGTTGTCTAAGAAGTTTAAACCTTCCTTAATACTCTTCCTACATCCTAAATCTACATCCCTTGACAAGGAATTTTAATTCCTCTAACTGCACGCATCGATATCTAACTTCTATTGAAAAGGGCAACAAGTCACCACTGTAGATTGAACAGTAAAGTAATCTCATTCTACTGTATGCCTTTTTTGTTTTTACTTGCACCCATTTTATTGTAAATCTCTACCCGACCATGCTTTTTCAACTTCACGTAACCATCCATATTTTTCCGTTTACACACGCAACTTCACCATCTCCACTACCATAAGCTTTCTCTCTCTTTCTTAATGTGCACTTACCTGATTTGGTATTGTTTGTGGAGCTCCAATATCTCTCATTTGTGTCCTAAATAAAAAAAAAAAATTGGAACGCAAGAAGTAAATTGCTATGCGTTTGGTTCAACTTCTTCTTCAGATTTTATGAGATACAATTTATATATTTGTGAACATTAAGCCTTTGTTTTTCTGCCGTGCTGTTTGAATCTCCATATTACATAATGTAGATATAGTGCAGAATTAAAGGCTTTGAAATACTCTAAACGAGAAGGCGGTTGAAGAGGTATATCAATTTAAATATCTCTTTTTTACTTCTCTTTCTTCTCGAGAAAAGAAATTTGCTACTTCCAATTTTCCTTTTATGTAACGTGAAATGTGTTGTAGATGGTTAGTAGTGTTTTTTTCGTAATTTTTTTTTATAGAATTGATTTAGGTTTTGTTCCAAATTGTATTGAAAATGCATGTTTTCCTTTCGAGCAGAACCAGAGTGAGTGAGTTTGTTGGAATTCTATTTCCTTGTTTTACAAAGAGGTTTTCGAGCTTTGATAAGTCTCTCTCTCTCTCTTCAGTTTTTTCTTAATGAATTTTGTTTAGATATGTGTATTTTTTTTTTCAAATTTCTCGATTGTCCTTGCTAGCTTTCATCTTCCTACTGATTATACATTCTTGCTCATCTCTCTATAGAAAGTTGATTTTTTTGTTTTGCTAAAATAATTATCAGTTGTGAGTGATGTGTTTCTTATTTAGGCTTTATAATTAATTATTTTTTTGAAAAGTATTGCCTTACAGAGTTGGGTAAATTGATATTAATTTGGTGAATTCATTTTTGTTAGAATACCGAACATTTAGTCTTGCTAATTTTTTGTTTTTATTTTTGTTTTTTTTATCTTCATTGGTTCCATTGTAGATGTTAGCTTAAAAAAAGTTAAAAAAATCTCTGCGTTATGCGGAGAGTTTTCTCCAACCTTTCCTATGTGCGAGACTTCGCACAAAGTCTACCCATGTGCGAAGACTCCGCACAAAATGTACGGAGGAAGCGGAGACTCTGCACACTCCACATAAAATGTGTGGAGTCTCTGCACATTTGTTGTGGAGTTGCTCCGCATAATGTGCAACCTTTTTTGCTAGAAATCACGCAACCTAATATTTGTCTATAATATTGAAATTTGTCTTTTACAATTTTTTAGCTTGTTATTTTACTAGCTTAGAAAGATGCATTAAAGTAAAAGATTACTATTATGATATGATATAAAATTACAAAATTCAATTTTCTTTATTTTTTATACAGTAATTTAGAAATTCAATATAAAATAAATTTTATATTTTTATAAAAAAACTGTAAATCTAATAAAAAATATAACTAAAAGAATAAGTTTAACTTCAATATAATACAAAAAAAATCTCAAAAATAAAAAGGAAAGAATCATTGAAATGCTAAACAACAAACGAATCTAAACATAATAATAAGAAGAAGACAAAAAAAAAAAGGTAAGTGAAATTAATTTAACCCGTGAAAAAGAAAAAGAAAGAATGTTGCCAAACAATCACAACAAAAGGAAACTATCAAAATCTAACAACAATTATTCTTCAAATTAACAATTTTCTAAAAGAAAAACAGTTGAAAGAGAGCTCGAATTTGAAATAAATGAATAGTGAAATGTATTATTGATTGCACTATACATACTTTACCATTGAAATGGAAAAACTTTTGCAGTGATTTTTGGCTTTTTCCAAAAACACTCACGTGATTGTTATAATCATTTACTATTTCATCTAATTTTTCAGCAGGTTAAGAGTATAGATTTATTATTTGACGTTGAATTTTTTTTTAAATAATCATAATAAATCTTCTTGTTACACTAATAAAATTACAATAAATTTTTTTTCCACAAATAGCATAAAAAAGTAAAATCAGTTTATTCTTCAACCAAAAAAAAAAAAAACACATTTAACCACTATTTTTTTTTATTCTCGAAGCAAGAAATACAATTATATAAAAAGAAAACAATATTGAATTACAACATTCAGTAGTTAAGAAATTCAATATTAAATAAATTTTATACATTTAGAACAAATTATAAATCAAGTTGGTTTTTTCATTAAACTTTAATGAAAAAATATAATTAAAAGAGTATGTCTAACTTCAAGATAATGCAAAAAAAAAAAAAAAAAAAAAAGGGAAAATTTGAAAAAAAAAACAGCAAACCCGAAGTTTTAACAAAAAAAAAAAAAAAAAAAAAAAAAAAAAAGGGCATACTCTGAAAAAAATCACTGCAATCCAGATGTATGAACAAACATAATACAAAGAAAAAAATAAGCTGTGAAAAACAAAATTAAGCTATGAGAGAAAAAAAAATGTTACCATTGAAACAAAAGACATGCCAAAAGTAAAATGACGAAAGGTATCACTTCTTATTCTTCCATTATTTCATTCAAATCCTTTCATCTCTCAAATTTCACCTTTTCCATCTTTCATCTCAAGTTATTACAGCCACAAATCAAAGGTAGTTTTATTTAATTTAAGTTTTACTTATGTTGGAAGTTTGATACTTATCTCCCATCCTATCCTACTACCTTAAAAGACTCTATCATAAAATACTATTCATAGTTGAGTTCCTTGTTTTCACATTTAAGTGGGCCGCACTGTTCATTATCCAGTTTACTACTATTCATGAAATATCTATAGTATAAAGACTACTTTTTCTCTCTCTCACTCCATACGGTTGCTGAGTTAACTCTTCTCATTTGAAATTAACTCATTTCTCTCTCTCCAAAACCAAACGAAGCCCTAATAGAAGAAGAAAACTCTGCCGGACGGTGCCGCTCATATGCACACAAGGATTGCAAAATAACGGGCGACGGCTGAAAATTATTTTTCTGGTGAGTGCTGAAACCCTCAAACAAGGGACGGAAACTCTTTTTACTGTTCAATAATCAATACAAGCCCATGGAATAGTTTGGATCTCCTTCTTTCTCGGCTAATTGAAAGTAATTTGTAGAGTATGAAACTATGAATGACAATTGCCAGATATAATTATGAAATTGTTAGTTTCTGTTTTTCATCTTCAAACTTGGCCTAAATTTCCCCTTTTTGCTCAATTTAAACCAAAAAAAAAAAAAAAAAAAAACGCTACTACTAAACCCTAAATGGAAGTGAAGAAAGAAATCAAGAAATAGGGGTGATTTGATTCAAGGTGTTTCAAGTTCAAATTGTTAATTAGTGCGGGAACTAAAGAGTCATAAAATAATTTGTTGCTTTTTAATCAAAGGATATCAATCAGGTAACATATATAGACTGCAAAAGATGCAAATCAGTGTCTTTCTTTGTGTGCTCATGTCCGCATGTGACAGAGAGAGAGTACCTGTAATCTGATGGATTTTACTTTACTTTATTGTTGATTTGATTTCATAGGTATTTTTTCCCCATTATTTTTCTTTGTTTCCTTTTTAGTTTTTTGGTAAGGGATAATTTGATATTTAGGTTGATGTGAAATGGGTTTTGATTGTTTTTGTTATTTAAGTAGCGTTTTTACGATTATTTAATTCAAAATGAATCTTCATATTTATTGGAAAGTATGGGGATGAACGAAATCTTGATTTACTTGTTAATTTACTCTCTTATTTGGATAAATTGGTTTCGTTTGTTCATATTTTGTCTCCTCGTATTTTTAAAGTTAAAAAAAAAAAAAAAAAAGGTAACATCGCTGCATTCTTTTATGTGTTTAAGATAGGAGGTATAATTTTTTGGGAAAAAGCTACATCTATTAATTTGATGGAAATCCAACAAAAGAGTTCAAATTTATTTTACTATTATGTGGAATTAGATATGTTTAAAAAATATGGCCTTTACTATAATTATTTAGAATCCCTGGTATTAGAAGCTTTCCAAACCTTTTAAAATTGATGTTTACCTTCTGGACAGGGTCTATAGTCTAGATGTTTATCATGTTATTATCTCCCTATACCTTAAAAGACACTTACCAATAGTTACTGTTCTTAGTTGAGTTCCACATTTTCACACTTAACTTTTTGGAACTGGTTTGCCAATTTCGATGGGATGGTAGTTATTGTTGATGAGCCCAAAAGTTTTTTGTATCAGTCATTCGATTTTTCAAACTTGAAACTCATTTCACAGGAATTTTTTCTTCATCAACTTGCATATTTTTGCATCCATATGCTCCCAGATTATTATACATATGTTTTCATTCATGTTTAGAAAATCTTAAGCCGTTTGGATGACTCAAAGATTAAATATTCATTCTATGAATTATAATTATTTAACAATTAATTGATTTATCTCAGTTTAATTCATGCATGACTCTTTACTTAGGAAATGAAAAGTTGGGTTTAAGAAATATTTTTTAATGTAGAGGTTTCTTCCCATGATTTTTTTATTTAAAGAAAATTCCTAATTTTTGGCAGAGTTTTAGTTTAGTTCTCAATTTATTTGATTGAGATGAAGAAATTAAGTGAAATTCTAAAGGGGAAATGAAATGTTGGGATTTAAGAAGGTTTGGTGTTTTGATGGGATTGATGAAATTAATCGGAGTTCTGAGACAATGGGTGGTGGAAAATGGAGTGTGATTTCCCTATACCTTAAAAGACACTTACCAATAGTTACTGTTCATAGTTGAGTTCACGTTTTCACTCTTAACTTTTTGAAACTGGTTCGGCAATTTCGATGGGCTGGTAGTTACTGTTGATGAGCCCAAAAGTTTTTTGTATCAGTCATTCAATTTTTCAAACTTGAAACTCATTTAACACAAATTTTTTCTTCATCATCTTGCATGTTTTTGCATCCATATGCTCCCAGATTATTATACATATGTTTTCATTCATGTTTAGAAAATCTTATGCCGTTTGGATGACTCAAAAATTAAATATTCATTCTATGAATTATATCTATTTAACAATTAATTGATTTATCTAAGTTTAATTCATGCATGATTCTTTACATAGGAAATGAAAAATTGGGTTTAGGAAATATTTTCTAATGTAGAGGTTTCTTCTCATGATTTTTTTTTGATTTAAAGAAATTCCTTATTTTAGGCAGAGTTTTATTTTAGTTCTCAATTTATTTGATTGAGATGAAGAAAGTAAGTGAAATTCTGAAGGGGAAATGAAATGTTGGGATTTAAGAAAGTTAGGTGTTTTGATGGGATTGATGAAAATTATCAAAGTTTTGAGACAATGGGTGGTGGAAAAGAGAGTGTGATATTAAAAATAGAGAAGTAGGTGTTGGAGCAATGAATCAAAATGATTTCTTTGTTGGGAATGAAGTTTCTCATAGTTTTGTAGTGGATTCATGTCTTCTTCACGTGAATGATCAGAACAAATGGGACTTTGATTTTAATGACGGGAAAGAAGAATGTAGGTTGGATTTTGATAATAATGTGCCCAGTGTGCCGAACTTTGACATGAAAGATGGTGGAATGGAAATAATCTATCAAGGATAAACACAACAACCGTGAACATTGAGAGGAGAGTGGAAATTATTGACATTACGTCAATGAGAGGAAATGATGTGGAAATAATGGCTTATAAAAAAGATGATATAGGAAAGGGTAAGCAAATTGAGGTTGAGATGTTACGTGATAATACAGAAAGTTTGAACGTTGCTGTGGCATACTCTTCTCATTATGTAGGATTAGGTGTATCTGTTCAATATGCGTGCTAGATGCATTTTGAAAGTACTTGAGGTTGTTTTGTAGTATGATTTTGGAGTAAATGTATACACATTTTCTGTTTGCTATATAGATGTTGAGACAACATTATTTTTTATAGCCTAATTATGGTAAATCCAAATAAACTAGAATGCACTATATTACACCATCTGGAATCATAAAAGTAAATACTTAACCCCTTGTACCATGGAAATGTAATGCTTAAAAATAGTTCAATTAGCATGCTATAGACCAATTGAATTTCGCACATGAATTCCATGTATGTGGAATATTTCCTACTTTCGTATGATAATTATTGAGAGGGGGTGGTATTGTCTGGTTATTTTGAAGTATGAGTGCTAACACGTAATGCCTTCTTTTTCAAGAGATGCAGAGACTATAACTTGCATGTGTGGTTAAGTCAAGTGGGGTCTGGTGCTGGTTGTGATTATTTATTTGCATCCAAACTAATGGTAGGATGGCAAAAAAAACACACTCGATAAAATTTAAAAAGTTAGGTTGAAGAAAATGAAAGCTAGGGGATAGGGATCATTTCTGTTAAGTTTCTTTCTATTTCCTGTGACTAGCCCTTAATTTGTATATAGTGCCTTAACATTATTATTTTATACACAAAAACAAAAGAGGATTTATCCATAATGACTCTTTTAAATATTCATATAATTAAAATTCAACGAAAACGAGAAAATACCGAATTACAATTGCTTTTTCTTGTATGGATATATCATCAAAGTTACTTCGCTAATTTTTGTGGCAGTGACTTTTTATAACAAAAAATTGCCTTTGAAGGATAAATGGTATTTTTTTTCCTTTGTCTTTGATGTTAGCAATCTGAATTTTTACATTAAATTTATACAGATTTCAGTAAATAATTTAGTGGAAAATATGTGTTAAGACAAAAATTGAGTTTAAAAAATTAAGATAAACACTAACTCTTACATTCTTGTAATGTAGGGCAATTGTGTAATCTTTTGGTAAAGGCACTTCCTTCTACGTGATTCAGGTACAAGTTCTTCAAAAATATTCATTTGATACTAATTTTGTTATTCTTTCATGGTGATTTGTAAAAGACCTTTGTATATTTTTCCTTTAAAACTTCATGTTGATTTCTCGACTATTCTATGTATTTCAATTTTTAAATTTATATTGTGAACAGGTTCACATTCATAATTGCATTTTTATTAAGAAATTCAATGTATATGTGATTATTTTGCTAGGTTTTTGCTTTTCTGGGATTTCTTGTACTTTTGTTGGCGTTTTCAAACTAATGATTTTGGTTTTTTTTGGCCCCCAAAATAGCTATGTATCCATATCTTAACGACGACCTGTAATATAGCACCAAAACCTCATAAAAATTTTACTTGCTAGCTAGCCAACGTACCTACATCTTCTCTTTATATTTTGGCTTACTAACTTAAATTAAATTTTGACCTGTCACTTTAGGCTTCTTTCAAAAAAAAATGTGTTGAAATTCTTCAAATTTTTGTGGGTTTGTTTTAGAAGGTGCTAATTTTGTAGATCAAAAGGAGAAAAAAAAACCCCGAGACTTTAGTTCTTGCAAGATATTAGACTTCATTTATAAAGTTAGCCCCTTTGTAGTTTGCCTTTTCCTTGGACTCTGCATCTTATTAAGTAGGCTTGGAAGTGCCTCATTTGACTTTTCAACAAATAATATCAATGCGAGCCTGTTTAGACAATTTGATTGGAACCACTCTCTAATACTTTGTTGATGACTTTTGTAGCTCCTACTATGATTGCATGTTTAAGGTTGTTGTATTTAGCTTGCTTGTTATGATGTTCAATATTTTCCTGTAACACCTTGAAACTTTTGTCATGTGGGCAATATTCTTTCATTCTTGGAGTTAAATTTATATTTTCTGGAAGTTCAGTAGTTGGAACAATGTTGGTTTGATTTTAAATTTTTACGAAAGTTTCATTTGAGCTGATTAATTTGATCACGAAAGTGCTATTTATGTTCAAGTTATAGTATTCTAATATCGTCCATCCACAAAACTAACAGCTTCTCCTACATGGAAAATGATATACATGAATTATCTGTCGTAACTTGGTTCTTAGAGTTGTCCAATGTTCAATGGTGGTTATTATGATTCTTTTTCTGTTTATTAAACATGCACAAAGAGAGTGAGGTAGTAGTTATTATTGAAAGTTGATTTAGGGCCCGTTTGGCATTGCTCTTGAAAAGTCAAAATGAACTTTTGAAACTCAAAAGCTGCTTTTGGACTTATTTGACTAATGTTATGAATCCTTCGTCGGGGAAGAATTTATAAACGGTTTAATTTATAAATTGATAGAAATAAGTGATAGATAGCTAAATAATACATGTGAATCCTTTGAAATGTGTTGTTGAAAATGAAATTTTATCATTTATAAATCATTTTAAGGCGAATGGAGGCTAACCAACCAATTTTCCATTTATGCAGAATGAACTTGTATAATTCGGGCTCATTTATTAGATTGTTTTGGTACCATCTACTATGCTCTTGTAGTGGGGGTTAAAATTAAATTTTTAGTAAAAATTTTATAATAGTTGATTAAATGCGTGGTTAAAAAGTTGTGGGTTCTATGAAATATGTGGTTAAAATTAATTGTTGATTTTGATTTATATTAAAAATTAGATTTTAGTCCCTATCAAACAAGTTTTTATAAATCATATTGAGTGACTTTGAGTGAAATTTTCCCACAATTGTTTATCAGACATCTAGATCATTTTTAGGCTGTACAAAGCAATCAGTGCTCCACTTTCTTATCTAAATGTAGAGCTTGTTCCATCTTTCTTATTTGATCTTCAATTCTCAAAATTCATATGGAAGTTAATAGATAGTGAACATGTTCATTTGTGTTGAAAAGTTACTTTATTTTTCAGCAAGTATTTGTTAGTAAAAGATTCATATAATCAAGTTTAACTTATTTTTAAGTATAAATATACTTATAATGGCAAACCAATTCCAAATAAGAAACATTTTCTATCTTCTGAAGTTTTAAAATTATATTAGTATATTATTAATTGTTTAGCGCATTTCTGAGGGTTGCAAAAGATCTTAATGCTATTGTGATTGCACCCAGAGAGAGAGTAGGTTTGGCCTATACTGGTTCTTCATGTTTTAATTAATTCTGTCATTACATGTTTTACCTCAACTTTGATGCTTGAATTAAAGTGTTTAAGTGCTATCTTCTTTTATAAATGAGTAACAACATGAAATTAGTTTCACTTCCTACCTTAATATGCATAATCTTTATGATGCCTCGGGGCTCAAGCTCTGCAATGTTGCTAAAACTTAGTTAAGCGTTTTAAGTATAAAACACAAAGGAAAATTATTTAGGATTATCAAAAATAAATGACTAATGCCATTAATAACAATAAACTAATTTTATTTTTAAAAAAAAGTCGCGTATTCAATAACTTCTAACATAAAAGAAAAAGTGCTTCGATGATAATTACTTAAATCCATTAGCCAAAAAAATAAATGAATAAATAAAAAAAATCCCATAAATTAGTCTTCATACTTGATCTGATTTGGGATCATTCCAACACTAGCCGACAATAGAGCTTCCAGACTAACTTTGATGCTTGTAACGTCATTCCTTCCTTCCTTCCACTTATCAATTATTTCCTTTAGAGTCACATCAGCAATCAAATTTGGAATCTTTATGTTCAATCCTCTTGTTGGACGGACAGTTTCCTTATTATTCTCAAACTTAACCAACCATTCAAGAATTGCTATCCTCTTATACGTCATCCCACTTTCTATTGTTACTGGATCATTCGTAATCTTTTACATCAACAGACAGAAGAATATATCATATAAGAGCTCCATGTATTCAGCAATCTGTGGCAAACTAATAAAGGGACCAACATTCCAACTTTCGTAGTCATTTTTGCCTCCACTCTTTCTGGTTTCTAAATTACCCGATAATTTTGGATTCACTAAATATACTTCAACATTAGTGGAATACAAATCTATATCCATTTGTTCATAATTAAACATGTCTTAAATTGTTTTTATGTAAACAATTTAATCTATTATAAAGCACATTATTTATATACATATCGTATAATAAATGTTTCAACATCTTTTCTCTCTTAAACCTTATGATTATTTTTTTTCATTATTTTTAGTTCCAGTTGCTGACTTCTTCTTTGAAGTATTAAATCATTTATTGTTTTGATGGATCCTTCGACAATGTCTATTGATGAAGAATTTGCTGTTCTTAAATGTGATACCATTCTTCCAAGCAGAAGTGAGGCATACAATGCATTCATTCGCCCATACAATGCATTCATTCGCCAACAACGAAATCAAAGACAGAGGGATTGGAGAAATCGAGTCAAAGCTGGACGAATTGATTCTCGAAAAAGGGTAACTGACACAGTATTATCTGAAAATACTAATTTTAGTTCTGCCCATGTAAATAAAGCAGTAATATGCCATGATTTCGAGGCTTCTACTTCAAACCAAGAAACAACTGATGTTTCTAAATGTGTAAAACTTGTGAACATACCAAATACTGCATATGTATAACTGATATGTACTTATTGTAAATATGGCGGTGCACGAAAATTTCATAGAAAAAGTAAAGGTTTTTGTTGCTCAGATGGAAAAGTTAAACTTTGTATGTCCGATTCACCAACTGAACTCTATACTTTGTTTACTTCTAAAGAGTCCAGGTGTATGGAATTTAAGAAAATTTTGAGAGGATATAATAACCACTTTGCATTCACTTCTTTTGGTGTAAAGTATGACAAAGAACTTTTTAAAGCATACAGAGGTGCTTTGTATTTACATATTTAGGATTCAAGGACAAGTATATCATTATGTAAATCAACTTGTATTAGAGAATGATATGCCTTGTTATATGCAGTTATATTTTTACGATACGGATAATGAACTAGAAAATTGTATGAAAATTCAGAAATTTTTGTTGAATCTACTTTGATTACTTTAATTGAAATCCTGAAAGTAAATCCTTGCAGTAGATTCTTTAGGTATTTAAGTAATATGGATAATTTGCATGATCATTGTATACACATTAGATGTCATTTTGGACTTGATTAAAGAGTTTTCAATACTCCTACATCCTCTCAAATGGCTGCTAAATGGGTTGCGAATGATGAAAATGTAGATGTTCGCATTCGTGATATTACTATAAATGGTCATTCTGGCGATTCACATAGCGTTCATTATTACTACGGTTGTTATGATCCTTTGCAATACCCTTTACTTTTCCCATTTGGAGAATCTGGTTGGCATGAAGGCATTGAAAAAATTCAAACAAAAAACTGTCAATCTCAAAATCTGCCTGGATTTGTTAGTCTACCTAGCACGACTAATTCTGCAACTGGAATGATTGAAAAAGAGGCTGCAGGTTTGCAAATATATCTTTTATTATCTTTTATAATTTCTAGGGCTGGACATGGTCCGGTTCGGTTTGGTTCTCGTTAGAACCGAACCGAACCGAAATTTTCGGGTATTTAGTAAGTGGAACCGTCGGGTCCAAATTTAATTATGGAACCGTTCGGATTCGGTTCCATTCGATTCGGTTCGGTCCGGTTCGGTTCAGTCCGGTTCCGTATTATAATTAAATTTTTTAATATATACAAAATTACGTTAATTTAATTAATGATATATTTAATATTAGCTTTTACAAAATAACGTAGTTCAATCTTATGTGTTTCACGTCTCTCTTTGCTTAACTCTTCATAAATTTGATTATTAAAATCACAGAAAGAGAAAGATAGCGAGCTCAAAATAATTAAGAGAGATGTTGTAGAGCTTTAATTCGATTTTCTCTGGTAGAAATGACACTACAGTAGAATAACAGATTTCGATAAAATTGAGGTCAATTTGATTAAGTCGATTTTGAACTGAATATTAGAAATAGGAAAGTCATATTTTGTGGTTTGAACTAAATTAACTAGTTAACAAATTTATTTAGAAAAAAATAAAATAATTTTACTTATTTAAAATAAATTAATTAAAAAAATTACGGAGATTCGGTTTTTCGGGCCTTGACCTAGAACCGAGAACCGAACCATACTCGTCGGTTCTTGATTCAAATACCCGTTCGGGTATTTAACTCGAGAAGAACCGTCAGGTTCGGTTCGGTCGGTTCGGTTAGGGAGTTTTGTCCAGCCCTAATAATTTCTGCAAGCTGCATCTTCTAAATTAATATTGAAATTCGTTTTTCTTTTACATGCAGTGCTAAATGGAACAAGAAAATGATCTCAAGTCTCTTGCCGAGAATATTATGCATATAAGTTACAAATTAAGCCCTCAACTAAGTCCATATTGCTTCATGCTATTACACTTTTTCAGCAATATGTTGTAGATATGTATGTTAAAATTAAAACTTCGAGGTTAGACTATTTTCGCAATAATCAAAAATAAATTCGTGCTGAAGTTTATCAAGTTATTGTAGATAGTGTTGAAAATGGGGAAACAATGGGATATAAAATAGGAAGGAAATTCATTTGACCTCAATTCTTTACATGTGGTCCTCGAGATATTTTAAAGAGATATATGGATGCAATTACTATTGTTTAGTGTTATGGAAAACTAGATATATTTTTGAATATAACACGTAATCCAAATTGGTAGGAAATTAAGCAAGAACTAAAGCACAATGATGAAGTTCAAAATCGACCAGATTTGATAGCACGTATATTTAAAGCAAAATTAGAAGAGTTAAAAAATGATTTATACAAGGAAAATGTTTTCGGCCCTATTGTTGCTCAGATATACATGATTGAATTTCAAAAAAGAGGATTCCTTATGCGCATCTTCTTTTGATTTTTAGTTTTGGCCATAAAATTTGTTGTGTTCAAGATGTTGATAGGATTCTGCGAAATTCCTAATAGAAACAAATATCCACATCTTTATTTTGTTATTGTAAAATACAATATGCATGGCCCTTGTGGAGATCTTAATCTAAAAAATGTATGCATGGAAACAAATACTGGTTGTAAGAATAAATACCCTCAAGATTATTGTAATAGAACTATATTTGGAGATAACTCGTATCCATTGTATAGACGACGTGATACTTGTATTTGTATTAAAGTTAGAGGTCATATGTTAGACAATCGGTGGGTTGTACCATATAATCCTTATTTGAGTGTAAAATTTGACGGTCATATTAACGTTGAAGAGTATGCTCTTCTATTAAAACTGCTAAATATTTGTATAAATATGTATATAAATGACATGATCGTATTAACTTTTCCATTGACAACAATGAAACAAATAAAGAAATTGATGAAATTTCTACTTACCAATGTGCGAGATGGATCTCTCCACCTGAAGCTATGTGGAAAATTTTTTCCTTCAATTTGTCTACAATTTTTTCAATTGTTTATTCTTTACAACTTCATATTGAAGATCATCAGTGTGTAGCATATGATGATCAAGATGATTTGACTACTGTTATTAACAATGAAAATATAAGAAGAACAATGTTGACTGAATTTTTCCTACTCAATGAAGCAAACGAGTTTGCTAGAACACTTTTGTATAGAGATATTCCAACACATTTTGTTTGAAATACAAGTGGAAAGATTTGGACTCCTAGAAAGAAACAAATTGTTATAGGATGGATTGTCACAGCGAACCCATATGAAGGAGAACGTCATTTCCTTCGTGTACTTCTTAATCATATTAGAGGACTAATATCATTTGATGATTTACGAACTTTCAATGGGGTTATTGTTGCTACATATCAAGAAGAAGCACTATTATATGGTTTGTTAAGTGGAGACAATCATTGTGAAGAATGTCTATCCGAAATTATTACTTACAAGATGTCTGTTTCTTTGAGGCGCCTCTTTGCTATGCTTCTTACTCTTTGTAACCCCAATCATCAGAAATTTCTGTGGGATAAATTTAAAGTTTATATGATTGAGGATTACTTACATCAAAATACATCTGTTGATGTTGCTAAAGTACGCGCTTTGGAGGACATTAGCTCTATTTTAGAATCGCTAGGTAAAAACATAAATGATTATGAAATTGTGTTATTCAACGTAAATATAGATGAGAATAAAAGGTTGCAAAGAATGGTTGCAGAAGAGACAACTAATTTGGATATTGAAGGGGGATTTAGTTGTGCAATGAGCTTAAATAAAGAGCAACAATTTGCATACGATACGATTATGGAAAAAGTAAAAACCCAATCAAGCGGTTCTTTCTTTATCGATGGTCCTAGTGGGACAGGTAAAACCTTTTTATACAAAGCACTTTTAGCTGCTGTAAGGTCTCAAAATTTAATTGCTTTGACAACTGCATCTTCTGGAATGGCTGTATCTCTATTACCTGAAGACCGGACAGCACATTCAAGGTTTAAAATTCCTTTAGAAACAACTTTTGAGGTTAGTTGTTCTGTCAGTAAGCAATTGGCTCTGGGAAATTTATTGAAAATGTCTAGGTTAATAATTTGGGATGAAGTACCCATGATAAATCGTTGCTGTTGAAGTTGTAGACAAAATGCTTAGGGATATTACCGATTGTAATATGCCTTTTGGTGGGAAACTAATGGTTCTAGGAGGCGATTTTCGACAAGTTTTACCAGTAGTTCCAAGAGGAAAATAGGAGGACATAATAAAAGCTACCTTAGTATTTTTAGACCTATGGCCTTCGTATTTGCATCTACCATTAGTTCAGAATATGAGAGCAAAGTTGGATCCCGTGTTTTGCGATTACTTGCTTAGAATTAGAAATGGAATGGAGCAAGAACAAACTTGTAAGAACATTAAGCTTCCCGACAACATAATCTTGCCATTTGAGGATGAAATCACATCTTTAAAAAAATTGATACACCATGTTTTCCCAATATAGAAGCATGTGGGATAATTTATAGACTATGGCAAATCGTGTAATTATTATACCTACAAATGAATGTGTTGATTATATCAACAGAATTTTGCTTGATCAAATTCCTGGTGAAATTTTCACATATTATAGTTTTAATGAAGCCATGGACAAATCAGAGCAAGGTTTACAAGAAGATTTTTTTTTTGAATACTTTGACGTCAAATGGTATTCCACCGCATGAATTGAAACTTAAGATTAATTGTCCTGTAATGTTACTACGAAATATCAATCATTCAGAAGGATTATGTAATGGAACACACCTTAATTGTTGAAAATTTGAGAAATAATTTTTGCTAAAATCACAGCTGGCGAATGTTTTGGAAAATATGTATTCTTACGGAAGATTCCTTTTATACCCCTTCAGAGTGATCGAAGTTCAATTCCCTTTAAAAGAACTCAATTTTCAATTAGACCATGCTTTGCAATGACAATAAATAAAGCATAAGGTCAAACGCTGGATTTCGTTGGTTTGTATCTTCCAAAACCTGTCTTGTGTCATGGTCAGCTTTATGTAGCATTATCAAGAGCAAAAAGAAGCACAAATATAGAAGTTCTGCTTAAACCAACAAACACAAAGGATTCACACTGCAGATGTACTAAAAATGTTGTTTACAAGGAATTATTTCGTTCGTACATCAGTAGAATCGCAAATTTTCGTCAGATATATTTTTATGTTCGATAAATAATTACAAATAGTTATAATTAAAAAATCTCCCTCCCTTCTAATTTATTAAAGAGTATTATCGCTCGCATAAACTACAATTTCAAATTTTTTCAATTTGTATAGTCTGCTTCATGTTAAATACCTTGCATACATTTTTGAAGAAAAACTTTATTTCTAGTTCAATAATTAATACACTGTGTTGCTTAAATTTTCATTCTCAAGTTATTGACTTATGCTCTAGGCATCTTTTTAAAAATGACATTTTATTTTTATATACTTCCAAATATTTCTAAATTGTTTAATTTTATTTCAAATAGCTTCATCAATTCATGCATACTTTTTTGTTGTTGGAGCCAGTGAGAAAACCTACAACCGAACCATGGACATTGTTTCGAATACAAGTTGTACCATTAATTGCCTTACTCCTTTGGCCAATGTTACGGTGTATTCTCTAATATGAAGGACCACAGTTCATTTTACTTATTAAATAGACAATATTATTTTAAAATTAGCTTTTCCTTATATGTGCTTACTATTCTTCAAGAGATTGCTTGAAATGATTTTATCTTTTTTTTCCTCTTTTTAAAGCCAGTTAGGCAAATTGCTATATTTGCTAAGGCTATTTTCCATATTTCTTCAAAAGATTGTGTTGCTATCAATTTCTATAATATTAGACTACCTCTCCTACAGAAATGATTGTATTTGATACGTTTATCTTGGACGATTTGGTACTTTTCTAGAAATTAGTTTTTTGATGATCTATGGAATCTTCCCATTTGGCATACATCACATACCATGCATCAATCAAATCCAGATTATTGATTTGAAATTCCATATTTCTTCCCTCAGTCATTGGCTAAGAAGCTCAAATTGATTTAGTATCATGCTATTAATGTGTATGTAAACATATTTTTTGTTGTTTTTGATGAAGTGCATAAGGGATTAGAGTTCATGACAAAATGTGATCATCACAAAGCAAAAGTTGGCAAAAAGGGGCAAATGATTTCATGATGACTTTGGGTTTGCTCATTTTTGGCAAAATCCATCGTTTAGGCCCTCGTTTAATCGTTTTTGCTATTTATGGTAATTTTCATTTTTGCAATCTCTTTCTATGAAATTCGGATTTAGATTTCGTTTGTTGGGGGATGATCCTGAAGATAAGTATTTTTCATCGTAGTAATTATCTCATATTTTCCATTTTTGGAAAAAAATATCTTTATTTTATTTTATTTTCCGGATTCTCCTAGGTTTTTCTTCTATTTAATCAGTTGTAAGTCCTTAGAGACAGCAGTTCTTGAATTTAATAAAATCTTCCTTGAGAATTTTCTCAATTTGTGGTTATTCATCTTCCCTATAATATTTCCGCTACGTCAGTTTTAAATTGAGGTTTCAATTTTTTTGTAGTGACGAAAGCATCAAAAATGCCCTGGGAGTATGTTTTATAGGTATTCAGATTGGTAAAATTCTAATTCACAAAGAAGGTGACAGTGATCTGCAGGTCAGCAAGAAATGACTATTTCTGTGTAATCTTGTACTTAGACTTTTCCCTTTTTTCTGATTTTATTTCTTCCTCTTGTCATTAAAATGCCTCATTTGCAGCTGATCTATGAAAAACTGGCAAACTACATCTCAAATAGACATGTATTGTCATTAGATCCTATTTTTAAGCTACCTTCAAAATAAGTTGAAAGGCTTTCCTACTCCTACCTTGTTGTCTGAGCTATTGTTAAACTGTTCTAACATTCCTGAAACTTGAAGCTCACCCAAACACGAAATATCATTTGACTCATTTTAGTAGTTTCTTACAGCATGATTTTCTATTTTGCTTGTTGGGAAAGTAAAGGCAGCAGAAATCAAAGATAGCATAAGAAAGTATAAGGGAAACTTAATAAAAAAAAAAACACTTTCTAAAAGTGCTCAGAATCTCAAGCTTAAGAAGCTTTCTTTCCAAACCATAAAATTCTAAAATAATCAAGAAAGCAAATAGCTAAAATTTCTAAGATAAGAGTTTCTGTTACCTCTTACTATAGTGCATGACCACTTACTTTTTTCCCTGTTGATTTTTTCCCATTGTTGGCAGTACTTCTATTTTTATTTGTGATCAAGGGAAAAGTAGTTTTGCAGGCATTTAACCTTTCTTTCTATTCTTTTGTGCTCTTTTCAGAAGATATTATCTTTAAAACTTTACTTAAACACTCAAATTACTGGAAGTGGCTTAATGAAACAAATTTGAATGCTAAAGTTTGGGCCAGATACTCGGATGAATCATTATACATTAATGGATTGAATCCTACTTGTGTTGTTGTGATTGTATGGTTGATTCTTGTTTTTGTTTATCTTTAATTAATTATAGAGAAATAATATTATTTGTGCAGGTCTTTCAAGGAGTGAAATACACTTTTCTATTTTAACGGAATCTTTGACGGTATTACTTTTCTTTGGCCTTGGTTCACATGGATGGATGGTAAAACTAGAATAATATGGTCACCCCATGAATTGGGGATTGAAGCAGTTGAATCTTTTGTTGTTGCAAAATGCTTCAATTGAGCAAGTTTGATCGTCAAAATAGATTGGTTTGAAAATGCACTAAAAATTAGTCTAATTGCATTTTACAATGCTTCTGGGGGGTCTCACAATAGCTTAAAAATAATTTTGTGATCAATGTCTTGCTTTGAGTGTTTAAGACGTAGTGATGAATTTTATTTTATTTATTATTATTATTATTATTATTTTTTTTATCATGTCTCTCTTTATAGTCCGACTCTATTCTTTGAAAGTCTAAATGAGTAGATTCCAATTAATTAAGAATGATATAATATATTTCAGGATATGAAGATGCTATCTTACAAACTCAACGAAGCCTTGCCTATTTACACTTTGGCTAGAATTTAATATTTAGCATAGCACTATGTGCAACTATGATCTTGTGTTCCCAGAGGATTGTAAATGGCGACATGACTGTTAGTGACTTTGTAAAACTTTTATCTTCTTATTCTTTTGGCTTAAATACTATCAAATCCAGGAAAAAAAAGGAACACTTCTACCATAAGATGATTAATGATATTGATTCTTCAACTTTTTTTCTCGCAGGTCATGGTAAATGGGCTACTTTTCCAGCTGTCTCTTCCACTTAACTTCTTTAGAAGTTTTTATCAACAAACAGTATAAAAGTTGGTCAACATGAAGTCTTTGTTCCAGTTACTAGAAGTATAATCTCATTTTTAGAATTCCCTTACATTCCAGTTTATAAGCTTTGATGTTATACGAATTCATTCTCTTCCTAGCAAGTCTTGGTTTTTAATTTGTTCTCACAAAATAGCTTTGAATCGAATACACCCTCTACAACACCCCTTTTCCCTACATAGTAGGGAACAAAATATTTGTAATTTTATAATACTAAGTACGTGTGCAATAACTAATTATGTTTTTTGAACTTTCAGAAACAAGTTTTGCTAATGCTAGAGGAACTAAAATAGAAGATTCCATGAATGAAGAGATGCCAAGTATCTAGACATCACTTTTTAGAAGAAAAATTTTGCGAGTCATTAAATGCAAAACTTTCCAAGGTCTTCACTTTGCAATAGTTTTCATACTTCATCCATTTGCACATGTGATACTACTTAAATATTTTTACATTATTGTAAATTACTTGCAGCATCTTGGGGAATCTCCTTTTCCTACTTATGAACCTATTTTTCATTGGGAAAATAAAAGATCAATGATCTTTGGGCAAAGAATTGTAGCAACTATCACATCTCAGTGTACCCGGTCTCTCTTTCTTTCTCTGAATGCATTTAATCTCTACTTGAATTTGTCTTTGTTTTCTCTATTTTTTTTTTATTCTCCATATGATCTCTCTTGATGTATTTGTTTGCTATTGTTGTGGGCTAAAGATCGCAGTGAAAATATTAACTTTGACACTTCAGGCTGAGCTTCTTTGTGAGTCTATACATTTGTATAGTCACCACTCACATGTCGATTCCAGTTTTCCTTTTCATTTAGTTTTGAACTGCACACCGTTCATAGCTGAGGGACAGAAGTTCTCTTGTAAAGCCATTTTATTTGCATAGTTTGTTTATATAATAGGTAGGAAGAGAGAAAAGCTTTTGAAAGATTTCATTTACCGCATGTTATCAATTGAGACCCAAGATGTCAGCTATTATTATCTTTCTTCTAAAATTATGGGAAATGAATTTTTGCGTTCTTTCTCAATTGCCTTGCTCAATACCCCACCCTTTTGGTACATAAAAATATTATATTATTAATAATAGAGTCGGGAAGTTGAATTGTGCTCTGCTAAGGCTTTGAATGCTCAAAATAAATCGAGACTAAATTCTGTGTTTTTTAATAATGCACATAAAAAATGATGATGTTTCTTAATAGAAATTTAACTGATGGTTTTTGTCAATTTACATCAATTATTCAAGGTAGAAGAACCCATGTGAACACATTTTTAACACAGACAGGGAAACAATTTCTTCTACTAGGGTTGTATAACAGTACCTTCATATTGTTTTTTCCAATAATTCATACTCCTGTTCTTCAATCATTTACTACCCTCTCAACTCACCTGTCTTTTATTTATCCTTGTTTTTTCTTTTTTGTTACATTTAGTTTTAGTTTTTTGTTTTTTTTTTTTTTTTGGTTAGTGAAAAGAGCTACTTTTGTTGTGTAACTGCAAATGAGTTTTGAAGGTTCGTGCTTTTTAAAGTTGAATTAGTTAGCATTTCGAGTTTATTGCATGATTTTTATGGAAATGGCGATTTGGAATTTACCTTTAGATTTTGATATTTAAATTTAAATTTTTGTTTAATTCAAATGTTAACAGGGTAAAGATAAATTAAGGAGAAGCTTCTGAAACTAGCACCACTTTGGATCCAAATTTTGTAGAGGTAATTACTTCAACTCTTCCCCTTTATATGTCAATACAGTTTTTTCCTTGTTTACAATGCTGTGTAAAAGAGAAAAGAGTTATGGTTATGCATGGTAATGATTTTTAATGTACAAGGCAGTATATGCTTGATTTTGATGTTTTAATATCTTGCAATTTTACTTGTGATGCTGATTCTGATCAATATTTTTCAATTGGCTTTCTTTGGAAGAAAATGACGTGTTCTGTACTAAGTTAACATGTCATGGTATATGTACCTTGTTTTGTTATGTAAATTGACATTTATAGGAGGTGGTAATTATAAAGTAGACTTAGAATAAATATAGCTAAATTTCATTAATACATAGGGATGGTTATTTATGTAAGATTTGAAAGTTTCTAGCATTGGCAGTGGGCTCTTGGGATTAATACACAAGTAAATTTCAACTTCTATTTAACATGTGTATTGTAACATGATTATCCTTTATAATAGTACGAGGGGATGCCTATCAAGGATCTTCCTTTAAATTTTATTACTATTACCTCTCACTTTGATCGATCCTGCAGATTAACGGCTTCTAAAAATCCAACAAAATTTGCTCTGGAAATAATAATAATAATTAGAATAAAGACTTCGCTATGTCGACTTTCAATCACAATAGGATCAATCTAATTAACTATTTCTTTCGTTTTTGTCAATGGCATCCTCTGGAATAGCATAATAGGCTTATCAACAACTCTATAAGATTTTTCATCATTTTAGTTTCTATATTCATGTTCCCCAATTACTTTTTCTATCTTTGGGCCAAAGTATTGTTAGAGAAAATGAAGTATATTTTGGCGACTTGTGGAGGGGTTAGTGTTTTGGGGAAAGGAGTGACTGCAAGCAGTATTGGTCTGACTTTTTATTACCTCCATCACGATTAGTTGATTTTTTTCTCCTTTTCTTATTCCTTTTTTTT